GCCTTCATCCCGGCGGCAGCGTTTCAGACACCGACGACCCTCGTCCATACGGTGGAATCTGTCAAACTAGAACACCAGTTTCTTCGCGTGCCTCTTGAGCACTTAAAGAAGACGATAAGAGCCAACCATCGTTTTGCGGAGAAGGAGGTGGCTGCCGTTCTTTCGGGGGTCGCTGATGCTGTTGACCGCGATGATATTTCGAGGGAGGAGGCTGTTAGCCATCTCACATCACTCGTTTCCAGGCTTCAAGGCCTCAAGCGTAAGGTTCGTGTTTTGTTTCTGCATTTGTCTTTTGCTTTTTCTGATTCGTAACCCTAATGATATTTTTTGTTAAGTTCAGCTGGAGGATGGTTTTGCGTCTGAGGATTTGCAGGCGCAGAGGTGCCGTGCAAGACTGGAGCACTTGGAGGGGATTGATGCGGATAGTTTAGATGAGTGGAGCAGTACTAGGTTGAAGCGTGTGCTTGTGGATTATATGCTGCGCATGTCGTACTATGAGTCTGCTAAAATGCTTGCGGAGAGTAGCAATATAGAGGTATGTATTTGTTTGTAGGTTTTTGTCCATCTTCTTGGTTTGAAGTAGAATAGCTCTTTCTCTGGTTTTTAATTTTTTAATTTTTTTTAATTTCATAAATCTTGAAGAAAAATGAAGTATTTGACTGAAGATTACATTGTTCTATATCATCAATTTATTCGATCTAATATACTGACATAGTTATTTTGATTCTCAAATGGTAATATCATATCTCTATGCATTTCATTAAGTTCTTTTTTCTGTCTTGAATTCTCGTGTTTAGCCACCCACCAAGAATCCCCATCCAGTGATAGGGATCATGAACACTTAAAGTGATAACAAAGAGACCAAGCAGCATAGGAAGGTACAAAGATTTACATGATATAATAAGAAAAAATAGCTAACATCCATGGTAAGGAGAAGATCCCATTTATCATAAAAAGGCCACACATGTGCAAGGTTGAAAAGGGCGCACCATAAAATTTCATTTTATTCTAATTTACTTAAATCTCACCACAAAAGAGAACCCCAAATTTCTCCCTCAAGTCAAAAAAAAAAAAAAAAAAGATAAATCATCTTAATATCAAATAAAAATTGCAAGAGCCCAACAAAAGAGATAATAAATAAATACCAGTAAGCTATATGAAAAGAGCCTCACCAAGATGCTCTTAAAATAAGAATCTTCTCTTTCTTGCTCTTTCCTTTCTTCTATTTCGCAGAAAAGGCAGTTTGTCAACAAGAAATTTAGCTAAAGAACTGATTTTCATAAAGAGATTAGAGAGATAATGGTGCAATTTTTAATTATGCTATAAATATAAAAAATGCAAAATATGTTTGCACGAAATCAAATAACCATTCTCTCACATAAAAAGTAAGAGCTGCTCTATAATCTATATTCAATTCATATGCTCATTTTTCATATAAATGAAAACAATATTTTGAAAAGTGAAGTGGAAGACATATTGTGCATGAAACTTGGAATGAAAGAATCTTACTGTGCTTTTTGTAGAAATAATTTTACAAGGGGTTACTGAGCCAATGTCTAATTTCAAGCTCATAAAAAGTATATTGTTTGTGTATTTCTTTTCTATTGTAGCTTGCTCAAAGTTAAATCTTGGCAAGCCACACTTGAATGAACTATTTTTTAATTATGACCTTCTAATAAAATTCCATTTATGAGGATTTATTTGATAATGAATTGATTCAATTAGTATCCATTAATTTACAACTGAAGGAATAGTTGAATTATTCAACCTGTGAATATTATCGTGAATTGAAATGGACCCAAACTATTTTTGAGTTATGACCTTCTAATAAAACTCCATTTATGAGTATTTATTTGATAATGTATTGATTCAATTAATATCAATTAAATTACAACAGAAGAAATAGTTGAATTGATATTCAACCTGTGAATATTATTGTGAACTCTTAATTCCATGGAATTTCTCTTGTTGAGAGTTATAATCAAAAGTAGCTTCCTTTGGCAAAAATATAAAGAAATGATCAAGTGTGTACTAACATGCTTTTATGTAACTGTAGTTCTTGTTTAAAATTAAGTGTAGGCAGATTATGGCATAATTTCAATCTTAATGTTTTATATCTTTTATAGAAAATTATGGTTATTCTTCAATCTGATTTTACTTTGATGCCTGTTATGCTGAGATCTCTTTCACCTGTTTCTGTTATGAAGTTAATTTGGATATACGTCCTGGAATTCTTGGTTTGTTTTGACCTCCAAATTCTTTAGTTTGAGAAGGATTCATTAACTGATGCTTAACATCTTCAAGATTTTTTTTTTTTACTTTTAAAGTTCTTTCATGAAATTACACTCCTTTGTTATGATGATTTTACTGTTTCTCTTAAGATATTTGCTGCATATTACAATTATACTTCTGGGCACATAGCTCAATGGTTTTGCCCTTGACCTCCAAAAGGGAGATTTCGGTTTGATTCCCGCAAAAAATAAATAAATGAGTAAAGTGTCAAAATAGCCGCAGACTGTTTATATGAGACTATTTTAGTTCCAAAATCTACACACGTGTCAAATTAATCACCAGACTCTTTTAATTGGGGTTAAAATACTCTTCAGGGAGGATTATTTCAACCCCTATTAAAAGAGCCTGGGGACTAAATTGTCGGTTTTTTAGATTTTTGTACTAAAATGACCCCATACAAAGAGTCAGGAGACTATTTTGGCACATTTCCCAATAAATAAAGCATAGAGACACTTATTTCATATTTCATTAAAGGGTGTTCTATTACAGGATCTTGTTGATATTGATGTTTTCATCGAGGCCAAGCGGGTGATAATTTCTCTCCAAAACAAGGAAGTAGGACCTGCATTAATGTGGTGCGCGGAGAACAAATCTAGATTGAAGAAATTCAAGGTATTGAATTTAGTTCTTATTTTTGTTTATTAGTTACCGAGAGATTCATAATTTTTTGTCATGGTTCTTGAAAATGCTTTTCTTTGTCTTTACTTGAGAAGATATAGCATAGCAAATTCTGTAAATGAATGGAAATTTAAATCCTTACAACTAGGGGTGTCAAAACTAACCTGACACGCTAACGTGACCCAAACCTGACCCGAAAAATCTGGGTTTGGGTGTCCCGAATTATTTTTGGGTTGGATAGGAATCCCAGTCCGTTTAATCTTTTGGATTATGTTCAGGTTGACCCTCTAACTTGAAATTAACTTGAAGCTAACTTGCTAAACCCAAAATTAACTTGCGAACAGAATTGATTCTAGATTGACCTGAAATCAATTCAAATTTGGCACGAATAGCTATTATGATTTATGTTAAATGTGTTATATAGGTCGAGTTAGAGTTAGCGGGTTAAAGACAGGTTTGGTTTGGGTTGGACTTTCTGACCCATTTAAAATTCAGGTTGGGTCAATTTTGGGTAAGACCCGAACTAACCCATAAACGCGATTTGAAACCCTTACCTAATACTTTGTCTTCTAATGTCCTTATGATCAATTCAAATGCAATGACAAATAAAAGAACCAAAAACACTTGATTTGTCTGGAAATTCAACCCAGGTATTGACCTAGGCTGACTAGAATCCTGGCTAATGTGTGCTAGTGTTTTAGATTAGGAACTAGAAACTGTACTTATTACACTAATCCGTATTCAATAAAATTAATCCAGGTTGATTTTTAGAATTTTTGACATTTTCTTACTTTTTTGGGACTGCATAATGGTTAATAGTACTTGAATGTTAGAAATTGTATTTTGGAAATTGAACTCAAGAGACTAACCAGCGAAAAAGTGTCATTACTGACTTAAAGTTCACTGGATTTTAAAAGTAGTATCAATTGTTAATTAACCGTAGTAAATAACTAATTTACATTCTTATCATTAAGTTTGAAGCATTAAAGCTAATAATTAGCAGCATTAAATCTACATAGTGCTGGATTTGAAGTATTTCTTTTTTTAAATAAATTTCAATGTACTTATTGTTGATCTACAAGCTTGAGCATATGGATTTTAAGTTTGCATTATTATCTCCGTTGATAATTGTTTCAGTGAGATTTTTGGGATGGCTTTGTTGTGTTTTGGGTCCTTGTTTTAAAGTGACTTTGTTTTGTCTTTTCTTTTTGAAGTTTGGTCCTTATATAATGTTCTTCTGATTAACTTTAAGAATCACTCTTTGAAAGTGGCAAATTAGGCTGTCAGTCTTCTTGGAATGCAAATTAAAATTTGCACAGTACTTATCCATGTTGTACGTCTACTAACTCTGAGAATTTAGGAAGATTTACATACATACCACTCAATTCCTATGTATTTACATATCTATCACCTAAACTTCAATATTTACACACATACCACCGTTCCTATGTGTGAAAAGCTGTATTTAACATTTTAAAAGTTAAAATAATGGTATTTTAGATGTGATATAAAATATTTGTGTGGTATAAATGTAAAAAATCAAAGTTAGGTGTTAGATGTGTAAATACGTGGTAATTGGGTGGTATGTATGTAAACGCTCCATACTTAACGTTTGTCGTTTTAATTACCAACTTCTTTTGTTCCTTCCCAATTTAGGGTCATTTCATTTATTCACTTCGTCTTGAATCCTGATTTTTTCATGAGTTATAGCATTCAACACAGTAAACTAAAATATACTCTTTTTCTAAAGAGCTTCCATATCAGTAGTAGGAAGCACAAATATCAGCGAACATTACTTACTAAATTTCTTCAGCTTGACGTTTTTGGAATATACTTATTCTTTAAAGTAAGATTTACATGCATGCCACTCCATTTCTATGTATTTACTTACATATCTAACACCTAGACTTCAATATTTACATACACACCACCTGATGTGATATGAATGATTTGAACGGTATAAATGTAAAATGTTAACTTTCAGTGTTAGCTATCTAAATACATAGAAATTAGGCTGTATGTATGTAAATGCCTCTTCTTTTAAGTAGTCCAACCTATAATAATATAATACAAATTCTAAATGCAGAGCAGGTTTGAATTTCTGTTGAGGCATCAGGAGTTTATAGAACTTGTAAGGCTTGATGAAAGCTTGAAAGCAATTGCCTACGCACGGAAGTTTCTCGCACCCTGGGCGGCTACCCATATGAAAGAACTGCAACGGGCTATGGCCACTTTGGCTTTCAGAAGTAATACTGAATGTGCAACTTACAGTGTAAGTACTATCCATGTTTTGTTCATTTTCTTTATCAGCAATGAAGAAGGCATGCAAATTTTTTGGAAGATTTGCGTACATACCACTCAATTCCTATGTATTTACATATCTTACTCCTAAACTTCATTTTTTACATACATGCCGCCTTAGCTATGCATGAAAAGGTGGATTTACTTTTTAAAACTTAAAATGGTCTTATTTTGGTGTGACATAAAAGATTTGGGTGGTATAACTGTAAAAAATAAAGTTTAGGTGTTAGATATGTAAATAAATAGGAATTATGTGCTATGAATGTAAATGCCCTGATTTTTTTAACGTAGTAAAGGCATGCTTTCATTTGTTTTTATGTCAAATCATAATTGACATTTGCAGCTGGTCAAAGTGCTATATTTTTCTATTTTCTTTTTACTATTTTTTTATTTTAATCTCCAGTCAATCTGTTCTCAATGCATCATGCATGAATCATACGTACCATTTTATTCTGATTGTTTTTTTGTAAGATATTTGATTACTTAAAAAAAAATGGAAGATCTACGAGGTGATCACATTTTGTGTTGTTTTAGGCTATATTAAAAATGGCTTAACATCTCTCTCTCACATTGCTGTTCTAAAAGTGAACTGAAATGATCCTTAGTGACACCTGATCAGATCTTGATCGTCAGAATAAGATGATTCCTTTTATATTTTACGAAAGATCCAATATTAATCACTTTGTCATTTTAGATATTTTTCTTCTTTTATTTTTTGATTGCTTTATAAAAGTCACCCCATCCCTCAAGACTCCTCATTATGATGAGAAAATAAAGTGTTTTTTTTTTGGGAGGTAAATTATATTGTCGGTCAACTTTTTGAAAAGTGAAAATAATTTTGAAATTTAATTTAAATATAAGAGGTAAATAGTTTAGACTTTGGAAGTAGTGTTTTAATTTTTTAGAAAATGAGACCGAATGAATCTCATTAGTCCAATAATTTGCATAATCGTGGCTGACACCCTTAATACTACACATTCCACGAGAAAAGTGTAGATCCCAGTAATAAACTCAATCCTGCAAAGTAAGAGATTTGTGACATCCATTTAGTCTGCGAATTTTTTATGTGACCGATAAATTCACCTATTTAATACAAATATTAAATAGTTTATTTTACCTGGTTCCAAGTTCTCTATAGAGACAAATCCCTATAGTTAATTACATCTCCCGTCACTTGAGAAAACTCTCGATAATAACCAGTGGTTCTAGTCTTCAAGAAGTCAAAGTTCAGGTTTTTTTTTTAAGGTAGGACGTGGAAAGACAAGTGGAAATGACTCAAATAAGAATAAATATTTTCAAGAGCCAAAAGAAGGAAAGGTAGGAGATGTCACAGATCCTGAGGAGAAACCTTGGTGACTTCCCAAACTATTCTAATGTATAGCTGAGTTTTGGAGACGATGTTATTTAGGTGTTAATTCTGCCAATTTTATTATTTGGGACTTACATTTGCATAATATCTGATTATGCAAATAGCCCGCAGAGATAAGAGGGTTTACATCGTAACGAACAACAACCTCAGAACCTAAAGCGAATTAGGACTTACACTGCACAATATTATTGCACAGGTGCTTAAAGAGGGTATGAGGGTTTACCTCGCGCTAGGCGAGTTCTCTATAGAGACAAATCCCTATAGTTAATTACATCTCCCGTCACTTGAGAAAACTCTCGATAATAACCAGTGGTTCTAGTCTTCAAGAAGTCAAAGTTCAGGTTTTTTTTTTAAGGTAGGACGTGGAAAGACAAGTGGAAATGACTCAAATAAGAATAAATATTTTCAAGAGCCAAAAGAAGGAAAGGTAGGGGATGTCACAGATCCTGAGGAGAAACCTTGGTGACTTCCCAAACTATTCTAATGTATAGCTGAGTTTTGGAGACGATGTTATTTAGGTGTTAATTCTTCCAATTTTATTATTTGGGACTTACATTTGCATAATATCTGATTATGCAAATAGCCCGCAGAGATAAGAGGGTTTACATCGTAACGAACAACAACCTCAAAACCTAAAGCGAATTAGGACTTACACTGCACAATATTATTGCACAGGTGCCTAAAGAGGGTATGAGGGTTTACCTCGCGCTAGGCGAGTTACCTCGAAGTCCTAGGGGTTGCTATTTAGACCAATGAGAGAGTTTAGCTGGTGTAGACTTGTTTTGCTGTTGTAGAATGACGACCATCTCCACTTGTAGTCCGCTTCAAGTTCCTTATCGCGCTGCCCACGAAGTTGCTCTAAACTCCTCGTCGAAGTAAGCCCAAGACATCAATTTTAAATGCCTCAAAATCACCTAGGAAACCCAACCCAAAATAGTGTGTAAACTCTCCAAAATCAGGCCCAAAATGATGTTTAAGAAAGTCATAAATCAGTCCCAAAACTGCCCCCAAATCATCACTTAAATGACCCCAAATCAACACCCACAATAACTCCGAAACAGTGAATAAAACAACATTGAAACAATGTTTTCATGTCTCCAAAACAAAATTTTTTAAAGCTCCAAAATGACACTTTAACATGTCTCAAACAACAATTTTAGAAGTATTCTAAACAGCAGTTTGAAAGCCTTCAAACAGTAATTAAAAAGCCTCCTAACAACAGCGTAAAATAACAATCAAAAAAAGGATGAGCAACAATTAATATGTTGACTGCAGATAGGAAGCTCAAAAGGTTTCCAACAACAAATTTCTCAAACAGAAGCAAGATAATTTTGAAGCAAGATAATAGTGGCATAAGCCAACTTTGCAAGGGTCTATGTTTGAAAATATGAAAATTTAACTAACAACTATCAAGCAAAAATCTTCATTCTGCGCATCAAGTACTTTTCCCTAAGCCAATCATTCATATTTGTTAGTATCCTCAATTGAATGGTATTGTAAAAAAAAAAGTAACACGAGAGGACAATATTGAAAAATGATCATTGAAATCCACCACATACCAAAAAGAAGCAGCTTTCTGATCAATCCCTAAGTAAGACGAAATCGGGAGCTGAGAATAAGAGAGGCGGATCAAAGTTTCTGTAGAGGGGGATGGGATGCCGAGCGTGAGAGGTTGTTGGTTGAGCAAGAGAGGGGAGCGAACTTCAGTGCGTGAGAGAGAGGAGCAGGCGATGGTTTTGGTTCGCAAAGGAGGAGCAGGGGAGCAGGCTTCGGGTCACAGAGGAAAGCAGGCCAGCGGGATCAAGCTGTTGTTCTGTCGTGTGCGAGAGGGAGGAGCAGGCGAGCGGGGTCGAGTGGAGGAGCGGGGCCTCGGTTTGCAGAGGGCGGAAGGCACAGGCCCAAAATGATGTTTAAGACAGTCATAAATCAGTCCAAAAACTGCCCCCAAATCATCACTTAAATGACCCCAAATCAACACCCACAATAACTCCGAAACAGTGAATAAAACAACATTGAAACAATGTTTTCATGTCTCCAAAACAAAATTTTTTAAAGCTCCAAAATGACACTTTAACATGTCTCAAACAACAATTTTAGAAGTATTCTAAACAGCAGTTTGAAAGCCTTCAAACAGCAATTAAAAAGCCTCCTAACAACAGCGTAAAATAACAATCAAAAAAAGGATGAGCAACAATTAATATGTTGACTGCAGATAGGAAGCTCAAAAGGTTTCCAACAACAAATTTCTCAAACAGAAGCAAGATAATTTTGAAGCAAGATAATAGTGGCATAAGCCAACTTTGCAAGGGTCTATGTTTGAAAATATGAAAATTTAACTAACAACTATCAAGCAAAAATCTTCATTCTGCGCATCAAGTACTTTTCCCTAAGCCAATCATTCATATTTGTTAGTATCCTCAATTGAATGGTATTGTAAAAAAAAAGTAACACGAGAGGACAATATTGAAAAATGATCATTGAAATCCACCACATACCAAAAAGAAGCAGCTTTCTGATCAATCCCTAAGTAAGACGAAATCGGGAGCTGAGAATAAGAGAGGCGGATCAAAGTTTCTGTAGAGGGGGATGGGATGCCGAGCGTGAGAGGTTGTTGGTTGAGCAAGAGAGGGGAGCGAACTTCAGTGCGTGAGAGAGAGGAGCAGGCGATGGTTTTGGTTCGCAAAGGAGGAGCAGGGGAGCAGGCTTCGGGTCACAGAGGAAAGCAGGACAGCGGGATCAAGCTGTTGTTCTGTCGTGCTCGAGGGAGGAGTAGGCGAGCGGGGTCGAGTGGAGGAGCGGGGCCTCAGTTTGCAGAGGGCGGAAGGCGAGCATGGTCTCTTCTGCGTTGCGTGAGGAAGAGGGGACTCCAGCGAACGGTAGAGGCAAGGCCTAGCGTTTCCTTAAGAAGGGTCGGAGGAGAGCCGAATCTCGGTCTCGGGAGAAGGGGAGCCGAATCTCGTCGTGAGAGGAAGGAGTCAAATAGGAGGATGCAGAGGGGCCTAATGCTTTCGGTGCAGAGACGGGATCGAGCCGAAGGTGGAGGAGCTTTCGGTGCCGAGGAAGAGAGGGGGAGGCAAACGAATTCGATCCGATGAGGAAGAGACGAAGAGATTGTTCGGTGGAGAGGGGAGCAAGCGTGCTTCGATGCTGAGGGAGGAGAGCCGAGCGCGAGCAGGAGAGGGGAAGGAGCGAATGAGAAGTTTTTTTTTTAGAGGGAAAGAAGAGAAGAGGGCCCTTTTTAGGAGCGGGATCGAGCCATAAAGTTATAGACGCGAGTATTGGTTAAGCACCAAATTAAACACCTTCCATGCGGGGGAAAGTTCGTTAGACAAATATTAAATTTCAATTTGACCAAATTAATGTGAGATTAAATGGTCAATTTGAAATTTAAAATTTGAATTTTGAAAATATTTGAGCTGGGGTGATTAGCCCGTGTTCAACCCAAGTCGAACCCGAGTTGAACCTGAGTTGAGCCCGGGCCCGCGTCCCGCTAATAAAAAAATAGTGCATTGATTTCCGTGTCATTTGTGCAAGTGCGTAACCATAGCAATATAAACGTCTTTCCTAGCTAAAATCGACGTTCCGGGCGAGTTGACACTGTC